AAGGTTTTTATTTTTATTTCTGATTCTCAACCTCAGTGATGACACAGAATGATGTAAAGCAGTAAATCTAACTCACCATCCATGATGAAGAAGCAGTCAGTGCAGTTATTCAGGCTGGTGTCAGAAAATTCGTCCTCCGTCGTCCTCTCTTGCTGTGTGGCTCTAAAGTGGCTTTAAAGTCGTTTTGTGTCACTCTCTGTTGACTCGGCTGCTCTCCTTATCAAATATGACTTCAGACAGCTGATGAGTCGAGAGTGAAACTTCAGCTCTGCCTCTGAGCCAAACTCCACCTGAAAGTTACTGAAGGGGGGCGGAGCCAGACTGAGGACGGAGGCTGAGGATGGAGGATGTGTGTCACAGAATCACTGAAGCTCCTCCTCTGTGCTACTCAGTTCTCTGTTGAAGGGGAACAACTTTGACTCTCAGATTCTGCTGCTGTGGAGGCCCCTGGTGGCCCCAAGCTGTTGTCTCCAGCTCCAGTTAGTAATGAAGGAGTTCAATGACAACAAAAACAACAGTTTACATCAATCTTTTTGAGTTACAACAACTTTTGATGAAATCATGTTCAACTAACAAACTACACTGAGTTAGAGGAATTAATTAAAGGTATTTTTTAATTCACTCTCTTAAATTGTCCAGCTATGTTAAGACAGAGGAGGGGACATGAAATCCTCAAGTCAAGGTGAAGGAAAATAAAGTTATCAGGCCAATTTATTAAGTTATCTCAACTTGAACTTACTTTGAAACCAACTAAGGCCAGAATCTGAGTGTAAATCACAGACAATATTAAGTTAAAGACATTCCCATCAATATTATGTTCCCCTGGCAACTCAGAAGGTTAGTCTAAATCACTTGATGTTTTAAGTTGCAACTATGTGCTTAAATAAGTGCTGAGAATAGGTCCCTTTAATTCCAGCAGTTGGAGCTCTTACAGCTATTGCGAGTGCTATCTCGTAACACAGGAAACCTGTTGTTGCATACTGTGTGACACCAGCGTTGGATGATGTCAATCTGTCGTTATCAGTACACCTCAGCTGTCCAGTGTCCTGGTTTGTCCTGAGAATAAGATCACCCTGTAAAAGAACAGACACAATCAGTGATAATAGAACCATCATCTAAAACATACAGCCACAATTTAATAACAAACTATGAAGAAAAGGGGAAAAAACAGCAGTGACATTATTGTGTACAAAAACTATGTATAGATCTCTCCTGGACTGATTCAGACTAATGTTGCAGCATTTGACCTTCACGTCTCCGACTCAGCCCTCAGTGTCTACTGGTGTTGTTAGCTTCGTGGTAGCATTAGCTGACATCAACAAACCTTCAGCTCCCAGTACCTGACAGACTCCAACCCAAACCTCACAGAAGTACATCAATGCTGCGTTACAATCCTCCAGAATGGCAGACATGAGCATCACAACACCATTCCCAAATTGCCTTCGTGTGCAGACAAGCTTTGACAAATTGCCTGATATGCAATTAGGGATGGGTACAGCTCCTCTGACTGATACTGCTTATCGGTGCTTTTTGGTATTTTTTAAGTGTTGTGGGATTTTTAAAAATTGAACAAAAGACACAACTGGAGATATGATTAGGATGTTTAAATAAGATTTAAACATACAATAAGACTAAAAATATGATGTTTAAGATTTAAAGCATAAACAAATAATGAGATTAGATAATATGATGTGTAAACTAAATTTATGAATATACTGAACAAACCTGTGTAAAAACTCAACCCAATGGAAAATCTACAGAAGCTTGACGCCTGTTTTCAGGCTGGAAGACAACAGGCCTGCCATGCATGCGCTCTCAATCACTCTGCATTTGTGAGTTCAAATAAGGACACTGTGGCCTTGAACGACCTGATAAAGATGGTGCCCGGGAGACCCAAAAAAACCCAATGGCTGAGTTGGAGGAGCATCGCATCGCAGGTACAAAGTCTCAAATTACTCAGTGCCGAGCAAGAAGTAATGCTGACTATAGACTTTGACTGGTATTGAAGAAAATGGGTGGAGNTCGAAGGCTTTTGGTTAAGATTTATGTATGAATGTGAACAGAGTGTTTTACCATTTCAAAGTAGGTACTGATGTAACATGAGTTCACTTTCAAGGGTTCTTGTCATGATGGTCTTGTTTCTGGGTGCAGCTTATTTCTCACGAACGTTTAAAGGTGTCTTAACGGTTCAGTGCTTTTATAAAGGTCATCATGCAGACAAATATGTATCAGATATAAAGAAAATCAAAGGGAGACATGAAGATGTAATAAAATAAAAGGCAAGATAGCAGGTATCTGTCACTGGGTTTACTTTTTTATTTCTTCTACTTCAACTTTATATTTGGGTTTGTAAATGTGGAGCTGCTTCCTGGAGGAAACATATGTTATATCTAAAGTACTTGACGAGTTATTTGGGTTTGAACTTCAATTGTCTGCCTAAATTCGACTCGGCACTGAAGACAACAGAGGACCCAGGTCAACTCCACTCATTTTCCATTTTTATTTAATTTTTTCAAAAAAGGAATCAGGTTGAGTGTTTGCTAGTTGATAACCTTAAAATAAAAAACACAAACCCATATTAATTAATTAATTAATCCATCAACAATCATTTAACATCCCAACACACCATAAATCAAATTACCAATTATAATTTTATCCTTTAAATTCATTTGAAACTGTCTCTACATACCAGTGGCATCTCTGCAGTCATCACTACAATGAAGATTTCTGACCTTCGTCCCTGTACTGGTATGAACAGCAAACAAAGAGAACACACCTGCCCAGGACCCACAAATGAAGCCTTCTTCTCCCTTCAGGCCTGAGCTGACACACCTATCAACTCAAAATGGCAGCACTGCCCTCTTGCTGTAAGTAAATTAACTAAATAAACTAGGTGAAAAATTAGGCCCTGCGATGGACTGGCGACCTGTCCAGGGTGTACCCTGCCTTCGCCCTAAGTCGGCTGGGATAGACTCCAGCCCCCCATGACCCTAGTGAGGATTAAGCGGTGTATAGATAATGGATAGGTGAAAAATTAAATAAGCAAATAAATACATATACACACAGCACCATAACCTAATTCATAACTTAACAGTACTAAAAGTAGATACAAATCCATATTTACAACAAGCTTAAACTTTTGTAGAACTATACCTCTAAAGGCAGTGTTAGCTGTGGTAAAATGCTTCAGCACTCAGAGACCAACTGTGAAGGATGTACACAGGTTTAAAAGTTTAAAGATCAGAACCAAATTAAAACTAACACAATTAACCTTCATTGTTTGTTATTGTCATTTTGAGCTCTTCAAAAAGTCCAAAATTTGAAATGCAAAGACATGAAAGAAATGATGAAAGTCGAGTAAAACCAGTTTTATTGGCAGCTATTTAACATGTAACAAAGAAAAGCCTCCACTCCAGCAGTGCTCCTTCATAAACATAACCTTTTATCTTGATAGTTAGTGATTCACTGTACAATTACACTATTACACTGGATCAACTCAACATATCCAGAACAATTCATTTTCTTTTGGACTGTGCTTTGAATCTGCCTCAGTGACCCCAAGATTTCTCTCCAATGTTAAAAAGCAGCAAAGAGAGTTTCCAGCAGTGCAACAGCATCAACATTACAGTGTTGGGACCAAAAAAATTGGATTCTCTTCTTGGTCTCAGCAGACTACTATTTATTTATTTCAATTATTTATAAAAATGTGGCAGTATATCATATATAATTATAGATGTTGCAACTAGCATCTATTGATTCTGTGAGCTGGCTGCCTAAAAATTTGATCAGGTCCATCAATAGTCTATAAGTTGCGGTCGACTGACGTCAGATCTTTCTCCCTGTAGCTGCATCTGCATCTAAAGCTTCACAGCAGCTTTTCATGACATGAAACCCAGTTTTACATTTTAAGTTTTTCATTAAGACAGTTGCACACAAATGAAACCAAACCTAAACATTATTTTCACAGCAGAGACAAACAAAAGCATGTCAGTGGAAGCACTGTGCAAACAGCACAGTTCCATCAGTACTATGACTAGAGCCGGTTCTGTTTAGTCCTCCAAAGCATCCAAGAGGCATCTTAATCAGATACCTGAACCACCTCAACTGGCTCCTTTCGACTCGACTCCGAGCTTCCTCTGGATGTCCCAGCTCCTCACCATATCTCTAAAGCTAAGGTCAGCTTTAGAGATGTGGCAGCAACTAACTCCAACCAGAGGGACCAGTCCATCAGTTTCTGGTACAGAACCATGACCTCAGACTTGGAGGTGCTGATTCTCACTCCAGACTGCCTCAGTGCTCGCTGAAGCTCACAACATGATGAAACCAACAGAACTACATCATCTGCAGAAAAGCAGAGATGCAACTCTGAGGTCTCCAAACCGGACAGCTTCCTCATTCTGGCGGCACCTTAAGATCCTGTCAGTGATTCTCACAAACAGGATCAGAGTGACAAGAAGTATCACTGGTGGA